AAAAAAAATCTCTTTTAAGGCCCGCTCTCTCTCTGTAAAACCTACCCTCACTTCCCAAAATAAAATTCTACCCTCTCAATGAACAATACCTTTCCTATAGCAGGCCGGAAGCTACCATTGAATTAACACCAGGAGACCCTACTCTCCTTTACAGCAGTCTTTGTTGGGCTTGTACAGTTCTTAGTGACAGGTTGGAGGCAGAAGAAAAGGAGAAGGTTAAGGAAAAGGGCAAATAACTACTAAGATTATTTTATGTTTTCTGTAAGCTTGCCATTACACTAGACACTATGCCATTTCATAGGAAATTATGGCTTAGAGAGGTTAGTAACTTCTCCAAGATCACTTAATAGATAGGTAGGTGGTAAAGGCAGGATTTGAACCTATTTCTTTCTTCCTCTAAAACTGTCAGTGAACTCTTTACTTGTTGGATAATTAGCTCTGTCACAGTATTTAGAAATCACTGAAAGGCATTACACAATGGTTCTTAATTATTTCTGGATCAGACTCATGCAACTTTCTCATAAAATTACGTATGCGCAAACACATACAACACCTTCATAAAATTCTTAGAGGGCCAACAAACCCCACAGTGCATTTGATGCCTGGCTAAGGAACCAAAGAAACCAAAGTAAGAATTTACAGATTACACTCTTCCAAGTCACCCGTCTCCCATCTGGTCCTACTCTACCCCCCTTCCCACAATCTGAGAGTAAGCAAAACCAGAGAAAATTTAAACATATGAAAAATTTAGTTTGAAGCAGTAAATACAAAATTCTAATACAATACTATACTTAAAAATGTCATGGAGAATTTCAATGAAGAACCTTGGAGGATGTAACCTAACAATCTTTAAATTTCACAGTTATGATCTGAAGATCATATATTATGCAAGCCAAAGAGATGAGATTATTGCAATTCATCCCAGGGAGTAAAATAGTTGAAAATCCAAATGACTGGAAAATCCTAGGAAGTATACTACCACTCAAGGAAAGAGAAGTTTCTTTCTGTCATTTTGTGTGATGATTTTTTCTTAGCAAATGTTTTTAGATCTTGGAGGCTAAATAAAAGATTTAATATGAAGTTTGTGTGGTTTTTATTCATAACTCATACTTTTGAAGAGAATTTAAAACAGGTCTTTATATCACATTTTCTCTATAGCTCCATGTCGATATAAAACAACACACAGGTTTAGAGAAAATATAACAAATTACATGTAGAAAAAAATTAGAGGACATAAAATAGAACCTATTTTAAAATAAAATCCACATAGTGATTAGGCCTTTACTCTCTCAAAGTAATTTTTAAAAATCATTCAACACAGCTTCAAGGATTAAATATATATTTTTCATAATTTACAAAACATCTTCACATAGATTAGCTCATTGCCACCTAAACTGACTTTGTGACATCTAAACTGACTTTGTGAGACAGTTATCTACTTTTCTAGATGAGAAAACCAAGGTTCAAGAAGGACCTGAAAACCACATCCTTGCTCTTTTCCTTAAGACTTTACTGCTTAGCAACCAATCATTACAATTTCTTTGCACATCTCTCATTTCTGTCAGGAATAATATGCATTTGACCCTGGTACCCTATCATTTTTACCCAATGATTGTTACCTACTTTACAGGGCTTTAAACCTGGAATTTGGATAGACATAAAATTCAAGATGTCAGACTTGGAATAGCCTTTTTAAACTACACTTAACCCCTTCACTTTAGAGATGAGTGCAATGAAGCTCTGAGAGGCCAAATGATTTGTCATAATCATCCAACCAGTTAGTGGTGATGCCAACAACAGAACCAAGGTTTCCCAAGTTTCTTTCTTTATGCCGCAATGCCTCTAAAGTGCTATATTCACTTTTATGGTTTTCTTAATATACCCAAAAAGACCTTTCTCTTCAGAGTTTCCCATATGTTCAGAGTTTTATGCATACTGACATGGTCTTTTAACATGACCTGCATGGTCTGGCACCTGACTTTTCCAGATACTTCCTCTAATGGTACCGTAATGCTCCTGACCTGCAAGAACACTAGGCTTCTATGTAACATGCTGATAAGAGTTATCCTTGAATCTATGGATTAAGGCCATACCTCTGGGAGTAATAAGGATTGAGTTTTTCTTGGCAGGAAGGCCAATCTAGATGTCCACCAACCAAGAAAGACCTGGGTGAAAGACAGGAGAGACAAAATGGCCATAAAACCTGAGGCCTAGGACTCCATACTACATCCTCACCCCTACCCCACTTCCCAAATTAAAAATGTGTAGATCAGATTATGCAATTTTCAGGTCAACTTCTGGTACAATGTCCTTAAAATTTTTAGTAAAATTCCCTCCAAACATTTAATTAAAAAAAAAAAAAAAAGAAACACTAAACCTTTTGAGTTCAGATATAGTAAGGCCAATCAAACCATGCAGCAACTAGCAGCCAGCCTAGCATGAAGGTGTCTGTAGAATAGATACAATGAAAGGAGAGAATATTAGGCAACAGGAATAGCTGAGCAACTAAATTCCCATCACTCCTCCTCCTTCAGTGATTCTCCTCCCAATATTAGAGAATATGGGTTAATAAATGGAGCTACCTTATAAATTCTAAATTCCATGAACAGGTCTGTTAGTGGGCAGAATGAGAGGTACCTGAGACCCCCAAATCTCCTTACTTTAAATGGATACTGCCATCCACTGCATAAAGACAAAACATACTCTTAGTGCATAGGGCAGTCAATAGAAAACAACTTAAGTATAATTAGTGTGCAATAAAGACAAAGAATGTAGTTAAAATAGTTTATAATTAAACACCAAAGCTACCCATCCCTTTGTAGATAAATGCTCAGCCAAATAAGGTTGGCCTGAAGTGGGGCTACTGAAGTCTGAGAGCTTGCCACAGTCTAAAGACACCTTCTGGAGAAGACCCACAGGAAAGGGGCAGAAGGGGCCAGCCAGACAAGTCTGGAAGGAAAAGAGTTAAACTAAAAAACAAGTCAAGATAAAGGATACCATTGTCAGCCTCAAGGCTCTCTTACCCACCTCTGTCTTTCAAGGGTTTCCTTCCATATTACCCCCATGTCCTTGATACTAGTCCAAGTGAAGGAAGCAAGTACAGCTTCTTATTCACTTGTCTCTTCCCCCAGCCTCCTCCAAGTCTTCCCAGTGTTTCTGCAGCTCAGCCACTTGGGTGGGGCAGGGAACCTGAAACCTCCCTTTGGATATCACATTGTTACAGGCACACAAACTTTGCATTCTGCTCTTTGTGCATAAACTTCCCTTCCCTCCCCTAACCTTTTGGCCTTTAACACTCTTATTCACATTCCTAGTGCACAGATACCAACTTTTCTAGGTGTCCTATCCTGACATAAACTTTGTTTTTCCATCTCCTCTTCCAAATCCATGTTCTTTTGGGAGTGAGTCCACCTTTAATTGCAAAGCCTAACACCTCACAGAGCACACCATGTACTTAATAAATGTTAGTTGAATGAACAAGAAAAGTTACTTTGCTCTCCTTTAAAAATATTTTCAACAGTTAATTCACATATGCTGCAAAAAAAATTTCAAACTGCATAGGAAAATTTAGCGAAATGTTGATTTTTCCTCAAATCCCATCTCCTCTGGTACTGTAAACGGGTGGTCCCTAGGAAAAGGGGAAGTTCCAGGTTCCCTTCCCCACCCAGAAGGAGGGTGGAGCAGAACAGAGAAAAAGGGAGAAGAGAAGGAAGCTGGATGGAGAAGGAGGAGGAGACCTGAGAAAGCCACATAGAGCAGCAAGAATGTGATGAAGAAGCCGTGCTTGTTTCCTGACACTGGACTGGTTAAGGCAGATGTGGGTGAGATGCCTGTAGGGAGGTGACTATGGCAGTGTTTATATTGATTTTGATTGTTCTCTTTTCCTCCCAGATTTGTCTGGCCATTTCTGACCCTTTTCCATGGGTCCAGGCCAGAAGGTGCTTTAGTCTTGTGGCAGGCTTTCAGGCCTTGCTTTGGGCAACACCTTTTGGGTTTGAGAGGATGGGTAACTTCAGGTGTTTGATTTAGAAGTTATATTCTTTGTGTTCCCTATTGTATATTTGCTGTATTAAAGTCCCTTTACATTAAAGTTTTATATGTTTTGTCTTGTTGTGGCGGCGGATGGCAGAACCCACTTAGAGCAGGCAGATTTGGGGCTTCAGGAGTGCCCCTCTCCCCCTGTCCTATAACAGATTTGGGGAGCCCTGTAACAGTACCAGTTGTATTTCCTTTCAGATTTACTATGCACATATGGATACTTAAGTGTATTCTTCTCATTTCCTACACAATGGTAAAATATATAATTTATGTTAATAAAATAAAATGTCTTATACAACTATAACTTTTATTCCATACCCTTTATTTTATTGTCAACAGCTCTTGTATCTAAACAATACACACATAATAATACATAATGTTAATATATAACATAGGGTATGAATACATATTTTACATAGTCCATTGCCTTGTTTTCCACTTATCAGGCTTTTTTTTCCTTTTTAATTCAGAGCAGCATAATATTCCACAGTAAAGGCCTAACATACTATATGTCACTTTCCCTGAGTTACTATCACCAATTTTCAAATACTTCCAATTTTCACTGTCAAGCCCCAGTCCTCAAACCCCACACCCCCACGGGTGACGGGAGGGGGGGGCGCTTTTCAAACACCTTCCCCAGAACCCTGGGCGGGGCCCTGCACCGAACTCGACCTCCACCTTCCCACCATGTGCCCCGCGCCACCACAGCAGGGGAAGAATGCGGCAGCACCCCGCTCAGCAGCGACGGAACCGAACCCTTCCTCCTTCGTCTCCCTGTCGCCGGGGTCGCAGGCTCAAACGTCCCCATAGACCCCGGCACTACCTCCCCCAACTCCGGGCGGACGGGGTCGTCTAGGCGCGGCCGGCCTGACGCTGGGCGTGGCTCCGACGGTCCCGGGCGGAGCTCTGGCTGGGCGGGGCCCTGGCCAGCGTGGGGGCGCCTGCTTGCGGGGCTCCACCCCTTTCCTCCGGCGGCGCCGGCGGTCGCAGCACTTCCGGGTCGGCGCGGAGGCGGGGCGGGGGCGCCGCGGCGGCTGTTATTGTTCGGCTGAGCTCGGTCGGGCGCTGTCTCTCTCGCCTCCACCGGTGTCAGTTTGTGCGGCTTCCTCTCGACCCCTCATTCCCGGCGGCTGACGGCCCCGACAGCAGCAGCGGACGGGGCCTGGCGTTTCGAGGCAGAGCGGTGTCGGGGTGAGGGGCGCGGAGGAGGAGCAGTAGCAGGAGGAGGAGCCGTGAGCCCTGGCACCGAGCGGCCGCGGCCATGGCGTACGCCTATCTCTTCAAGTACATCATCATCGGCGACACAGGTGAGGGCCCGGGGCACGGCCGGGCGGGTGTCGGCGACCTCCCGGCCCAGGCTGAGGGGCAAACGGCGTCTGGCGGCGGCGCGGGCGCGGACGCCGCCCGGCGCCTCCTCCCCTACCGCGCCGCTCCATTTCCGCAGTGCTGGAGCTGGTGACGTGGGCACTGCGAGCGGCCGCGGCCTGGCCAGGCCCGGGCCTCGGCCCCCGCCCAGGCCAGCCCTGTAGCCGGGGCCTCGGCAGCCGTTTTGCAACACCTAACCTGGGGCTAACATGATTGGCGCAGCCGTGGGTCGTCAGGGCAGGAATCTGACAACCGCACTCCCACGCCAGGGGCCCTGGCCTGGGGTCGCTTCTCCACCCAGGTGAAGGAAAAGGCAGAGGGGAGCAGAAGGTGATGCGCAGAGGGTCTTGAGTTTCCTAACCAGCGGCACCTCGACCTACACGTATCTGCCAAGACCTTGTCAAAGTACTCCCTGGTGTGGGGGCAGCCAGCTGAAAAGGAGACAACGAAACCCTTAAGAAAATTTTTTTGATACCTTCAACTCCCAAGTCAATAAGTCACTTCTCATTACTTGACGGCTAGGGAGTCACTTTTGAGGTCAATAAAGCGTAAGAGTTCTCTCGACTCTTGCCACGTGTAAACTGGGGATGGCTGATAGTAATGCAAGGCCTTTCTGTGCTGCGCTATGGGTGTGTTCTTGTGTGTGTGTGTGTGTGCGCGCGCGCGCGCGTGTGCGGGCGTGCCCGTGGGTGTGCGACAGGCACACTGATTTTTTTTTCAGTATATCAAATCAGGATCCCAACTGCTAGCTCTAAAGTGAGCTGATGTGTGAAACGAGGAAATTCAGTTATTCGCACGTAAATTATGTTAAATTCAGGTATATTTCACAGATAAATCCATTGTGAAATACTTTTTATTCACTTGTGATTTTTTTGGCATTACTTTGAATCTAATAATAAAACCAACACTTGTTCAGGTGTTATAACTATTAATATACCAGAGTCTGATTTCAGTGATGATGACTCTTACACAACTTTGAACCCTTTGCACAACTTTAGAAATATAAGCGCCAACTTGTTGGTGCACTAGTGATGTAGCAGATTCAGTAAATAACACAAGAAAGATGTTGATTGCTGTCTAAAAGAACTTCTTGCTATAAATGTTTTTTAAGCAAGATGTTTTGATGTGCTGTATGGAAACTGCATGGTTGCCTGCTTAAATCCTGGAATAGGCAGTGTTTTGCCAATATTTTGTAGCAAATTTATATACTTTAAAAATGCGGTTGCATATTCTGAAGACTGACGGGGTAAGTTTCAAAGCCTAGATTGAAGAGAGAGTACATGTTGACTATAATTTGAAAGTGAGAGTGGTTATCACTACTTAGTTGTAGTGAAGATTCAGATCAGCCTGTGCAGGTTGTTTGCTTTCACTTTACTTAGGGAGGATCTACTGTGGATTTAAACACTGTGCTGGAAGTAGGTCTACAAAATATTAACAAGTTGATGGTCTGTTAGTATCTCCAGGCAGTTCAGAGGCATTACTATTGTTACCTTGGCACTAAATTGTACAATCTCTCCACTCCAGTTCAGCCAGTGTATTTTACTGTCAGGTTACATGTCTTTGTGAAACATGACTCTCAGGAGGCTATTCCTCTGTTCATAGTTTTAGTTTGATTTTTAAAGAATTCCTTAATTTAGCCCCTATTTACTTTTCTAATCTTTCTCATGATTCACTTTCCTCCTTTGCTTCCCCTGCCATTTAAGCCCAGTGACTGATTTCTGTGTTTTTTGTTTTTGTGATTCCTCTCTCACCTATCTGCTTGAAGTGCCTTCTCTGGGTATCTCATCAGTCCTTCAGAATCTAAGATGGGTCTTCCAAGATGTTTTCACAGTCACTATCTTAAACTTTTGTGAGGTGTCAGGATTTTCCTTGCATCTTGACTGCAGGTGACTTATTTCTCTCTACCTTAATGTAGCTCACTTTTTATCACTCTTTTGCTCTTAATTCCAGGCCATTTTAATAACTTGATGACAGAAATTTTTAGCCCAATTCTTGCTAATAAAACTGACTGAAATCTTTTACCGTGTTTCTTTAATTCAAAGTATACCCATAATTGTAAGATACACTTAAGGTCACCCTCCCTCCAAAAAAGATGACATTAAATCTACAATATGACATCCATCCTAATTTTTTAAAATAAAAGTTGTATAAAAACATGCATCGTTGCCCTCCCTGGTGGCGCAAAAGGTTAAAGCGCAGCACTGTGAAACTAGTTGCAGCTGCTTCAGCTCCATCCAGTTCTATCCCTGGCCTGGAAAGTGACCCACAAGGTATAACAGACCTCTTCCTTACTTGCCCACTGCTCCCCTCAGTAGTGTACTTCCTGTCTGCCTGTTCTGTTCCCCTCCCTGGTGAATCCCCTCACCACCTTTGCACCTCTGGCCTGCCCCAGTTCTATATGCATAAATAAATCTTAAAAAATAAAATAAAATAAAAAAACAGCACCTTAAAATGAAGGAAATCACTACATTTCCTTTGTTACTTTCCTTCACCTTTAAAACAGTCATCCTTGTCTTTTCCTTCCCTCAGTAGGGACAAATATAGGAGTATTTTGGCTTTCTAACAGAAGGGAACCATTCACATTTTCTCCGAGTTTCTCTTTCAGAGGATCATGATCAGAATAATACTGCTGAAATACTTTTACTTATGGACAAATGCAGTTAAGATGTAGCTTTTTTTTTTTCCCTAGGAAATTCTCACTAATTTTAATTTCTTTAGTTTTAGCTCTATGCTTTGTTGAAGTTATTTTTTTTTATTACAAAGTTTATTTTTACATCATTTTGCACATTTTTTTTTTCCCTCTCGATTGTAATCCCCGCGGGTTTCCCATCACCAGATCACCCCTGTGCCACCACCCTAGTCCCATGCATTTCCCTCCCTTCCCCCCCCCCCAAGATGTAGCTTTTAAGTTTTCATTGGTAAAGTCTTGCTTTGGAAAAATCATTTAGAAACGTGTCATTTAAAACTATATATAAAACAGAAACTGGTTTTAAAAAAAGAAAAACCTGCCTTAATAGCATACACAGATCAATCAAAAATTGTAAAATTGTTGCTTCAGAAATTCTGGCAGCAGCCTATCATTTTAACCTCTTCACTAATCTTTCCTCTTCACTGACTCTCATCTAAGCCCATAAAATAACAAGCCTGGCTGTGTTCTATCTTAAATGCCTCCCCTTTTGCCCCTCCCCCCACTGTCCCCCAAAATTAGTTAGGTCAAAACTTTTAAATCTTTTTGAGGAAAAGTACTACATAAAACAATAAACAAGACTTGTGTAGTCTTGTGTACCTTTATCACATGTCTGAAAATATTTTGTAATTGAGATAAACATAATAACATTATGTTTATTTTACTGTATAACAGTGATTTGATGCTTCTATGTAATGCAAAATGAAGATTAGAGTAAGTCTGGTTAAGATCCATCATCACATGATTACATGTTTTTCCTTTTCATGAGAACTTCGAATAAGTTATACAATATTGTTAACTGTACTCATTATGCTTTACACTACTTAATGTCTCTTATAACTTATGTATCTTATAACTAGAAGTTTGTGCCTTTTGACTACCACATGCATTTTAAATAATATTGTTTGTTGTTCGGAAAACTTTGGACTTTGTCTTAAATGTAAAAGTGGGCAGTTCAATATCAGATTTTTGATAAGTTGATGGACCTTTGAGGGAGGTGCTGCAATATTGAAATTAGAGAGTGATGATAAGGAATTTGCTAGATGGGTAAGGGGGAAATGCCTGCTAGGCAACTGGAAGTTCATTTTACAGCTCAGTTATAGTATTGATGCTTTAAAAAAGAGATTGGTGAGTTAAAAGTAGAACTATCTGTAAGCCATTGGAAACTTTAAGTGTGAAAGGAAGGGAGGAGTGAGAAGTTTAGAGTTGGTTGCAAGATCAGGTTGAGGTATGTGTGGTGTGTGTGTGTGTACTAATATGGAGAAAACAGGTTAAAAGATTGAGAATACAAGAGAGGATAGGAGCAAAAATCTTAGAGAACTTGGGGAAGGAACGGCTTAAATTCTCCAAACCTTTAGTGGAATGAAGACCTATTCCTGTGAGAGACTCAAAGGTTTTTTTTTTTTTTTTTTTTTGTGACTCACCTAGAGTGTTAAAAAAATATTCAGTGGCTCAGCCCCCCTCAACCCCCCAGTATTTTGATTCACTAGGTCTGTGGTAGAGTACTTAAGACTTAGGCAAAACCTAAGACTGGAGACACCAATCTTATTATTACATGAACAAATTTGTTAAACTATTCTCAGAAAACAAGCTAGAGAAGCAAACTGGAAAATTTGGAGGTAGAAAAACTCCATTAATTTTTTTTTAAAACTATGACATTAACAGCATTCATATAACACATACATGTATATGTCTGCATAGTTTAATAATTTTAAAGAATAGTAATAAATCAGTGTCCATGTCATGCTAAGAAATACATATCCACATCACACATACCTCTTATTCTCTCCCAGGTGTACACTAGCAGTGAGTACTCTGATAAAAATTCTTTCCTTGCTTTTCTTTACCATTGTATCACAGATGCCACCCTGAACTATTGTTTAGTGTTGCCTGTTTTTAGATGTGTTTAACTATTTTATCAAATGAGAGAGAGAAAATATGTCTGAAGCAGCATTTGAATTTTAGACATTATGTTTTACTTAAACTAATACTTTATGCATTTTATTTTGTCTTTAAAGATTTTTGACTGCCTTTCCTCTTTGTCTCCTTTTCCTAATTAGTTGATTTACTTCTTTCTTCCCCTAGTATTTCTATTTCTCCTGAGATTAATACTGAACCATAAAGGCAGCTGCCCTGTTTTTCTTATTTTTTTTCCCTTTGTTAACCTTTTCTGGTGAACCTATTTCCACCTCATTTCAAATAATGCCTCTCTTCTTTCTCAGCGCTTTTGTGCTCCTGCTCCTGCATGAACTTAAT